GTCTACTTTTCCAAACACACTCCTGCTAGAGACTAGATGTGATGTGGGCTGATACTTTCTTTCCTGCTGAGTATGAAGGACCACTGCTGCTTTAGAGGACCCCTTCTGCAGCTCCCTTACAAAAACCTTAGCTGAGAAGAGCATATACTTGATTCAATAGCTAAACCCATTGGAGCTGCTGAAATGGCTCAGTGGTTAAGAATGCTTGCTGCTTTTGCAGGGGATCTGTGTTCCCAGCAGCCATGCTGGATGGCTCACAACTGTTTGTAACTCCTCCTTCAGGGGATTTAAACCCTCTTCTGGCCTCTGTACCTGTACTTACATGCAAGTACTCCTTCTCCTACATACACATAATTAATTTTTAAAAAATCTTTAAAAACACCGTAGCTCATTACAGTGAGAGAGAGTAAACAAAGCATTATGTTGCCACAATATTTTCACCAAGAAAATGGAGCATTTTATTTTATACTCAATATAAATCAAGCAAGTCATGCTCTCAAGGTTTAGCTAACAAGAATAGCAGTGTTTCATATCTTTAATCCCACAGCACTTGGGAGCCAGAGGCAGTTGGATCTCTGACTTCAAGGCTGACCTGGTCTACAGACCAAGTTCCAGGGCAGTCAGGGCTACACAGAGAAACTCTTGTTTCAAAACCAAACAAACAAAAAAATATTAACTAAGACCACTTGGTGGCGCCCATCAACCACCCTGATTCTATCAGGTCTTCCCCTACATTTTACATTTGGTATATTATAAAACGTTTTTCTTTTTTTAAAATCATCAATTATGATAATTGCTAGCCTCTTATTTATTTTCAGTAACAAGCAAATTGAAAACTCAAATTGCTTTAGAACTTTTTTTTCTTAACCATTACAATACATCAAAGAGAAGCAATGGCTGGGGGGCATCATCCTTGCTGGTGACGGAGGATAAACAACCATTCATTTCAAGAAGGCAATCAGGGAGCACTCAAGTGACTCTGGAGGAATGGACAGGTTACGACAAAAAAACACTGGCAGCTCCGCCCTTTCGAGAACAGAGAAGGGTGGACGATGCAGGTGGGAGAAATACAGAGGCTGCGGCTCATGGGTAGAGTCCTAACCTAACATCTACAAAACCCTGGGTTCAATCCCAGCAAAAGAAAGGCAGAAACACAAGCAGACAAAGTCATCTATAGATTCACCCCACTCCGGCTGAAACACACAGTTTAACCGATGTCTATTGAATCAAAGGTTACAGGGTTCACGGAAGTGTACATTTTGTGGTATTGTGTACTAGTTAAAGAATAAAAGAGTGTTTACTCATTTATTTTCTTTTGATTATTCTTTTAAAGACAAGGATCTCCTGTCCAGCCCTGGCTGGTCTGTTACACCCTGTGTAGCCCGTAAACTGGCGTTGAATTTGTGGCGACCCTCTTGGGTCAGCCTCCAGGAAACTGGGATTACAAACAGGCACACGCTACCACGACTGGCTCCAAGGAGCTGTGTCATGGGGACTGTGGAAAGCTGATGGTATGTTTTCGCCAATGTACCGACATATGTCCCTTCCACGGCCTCAGTACCACTATACATAGAACACGGCTGCTTCCCGGGCATTTTCAGGAACCTCACACACCTTTTGTCATGCATAAAGTTGGTAGTTTCACACCATTTATTTACACAATCATTTTTTACATAACAGTCTCACTAGCTTCAAACTAAGTACGTAGCCAAGATGACCTTGAATTCCTGATCTACCTGTTTCCACTTGGCCGGCAATGGGACTACAAGTGTAGACCACGTTTGGGTTTTATGTGGTGTTGGGGACTGAACTGAGAGCTTCCAACTGACCTACATCCCCAGCCATTTTGCCCCCTTTCTTTTTCTTAAATTCTTTTTTAAGTCTGCTTGGCTGCCCTGCCTGACTCCATCCATCCATCCATCCATCCATCCATCCATCCATCCATCCATCCATCCACCCACCCACCCATCCATTTCTCCATATAGTCGTGTGTGTGTGTGTGTGTGTGTGTGTGTGTGTGTGTGTGTGTGTGTCTGCGTGTGTTAGAGGACAACTTTTAGGAGTCAGTTCTTCCCTTACACTGTCATGCTTGGTGGCAAAAACCCTTACCCACTGAGCCTTTTCACTAGTCCTGAATGTCTGCTCACTTTAAACTACACTTAGAATATTTCGTTCTGCATGGCTTACACAGGAGAGTGCCAAGGAATACAGAAAAGAATGGGAATCCAGCTGAGGTAGAGCATGCCTGTAATCTCTGCCTCAGGAGCCAGAAGCAGAACCAGGGGTTCAAGCTCATCACTAGCTACAAAGTGACTTCAACTAGCCTGAGTCACAGAGACCCAGTCTCAAAGAACAAAATCCAAACCACACATGTAAAAAGACAGGAAGGGAATAGGTATATATAGTGCACTGTAATGTAATCTCAACATTACCCCTCGAAGGGCTGAGACAGGAGGATCTCACACCCCTGACATACAAGCACAACGAGACTTCATGTTCAAAAAAAGTAAAAACAAAACAACAGCCACAGCAAACTCACCAGAACCTAGCCATCATTTTATGTTAAGAACTACAAAATGTATTACATTTCAAGCATAATAATTTCAAAGATATTTGAGAATCAATTCAGTAGGTACTTGAGATTTTATCATTTGTGTGCCAAGCATCATGAAGAAAGTCCCGTATAAAACTCCAGTCCCACAACTGTATAGTTAAGGAGGAAAAATTGGAGAAGATTCACCGTTCACAAGTGGAGCTGCAAGTACTCACATACCCACCATCTTCAAATGGACGGCAGACTCCTGATTAGTCATTTCTTGGTTATCCAGTCTTCTGGATTTCCCCAGGTGATGTCACAGCAAGAGAGGGGGAAAAAAGGTACACGTGACACACTTACATTTGAGGCTCTTAATGTATGCTAAGGACATATGAAGATGGTATTTTAGTATGATTTAAATACCAAGGAATTTGCAGGCTGCTTGCTCAGCAAAGGATTTCCTTTATTAAGTAGTTTTTTCTAAGAACTAAAGTAGTACTAATAAGTTTGAATAAAGAGGTAAAATAGACTACACATTTGCAATAAGACTTTACTACAAGATTTGTTAAAAAAACAAAAACAAAAACAAGACAGGGTCTCCCTCTGTAGTCTAGGCTTGCCTTGAACTCCTGGGTAACCTCCTGTCTCAACCTCCTTCTGTTGTGGAATTATTGGTGTGAACCATCATGTTTGGCTGTTGTGGATATCGCTTTGTATAAATAAAACACTGATTGGCCAGTAGCCAGACAGAAAGTATAGGTGGGACTAAGGAGAATTGAGGGAACAAGAAGGCAGACAGGGAGACACTGCCAGCCGCCACCATGACAAGCAGCATGTGAAGATGCTGTTAAGCCACGAGCCACCTGGCAAGGTATAGATTTATAGAAATGGATTAATTTAAGATATTACACTTGATCTTAGCTAAAAGGCCGAGAAGCGATGGATTAATTTAAGATATAAGAACAGTTAGCAAGAAGCCTGCCACGGCCATACAGTTTTTAAATAATATAAACATCTGTGTGTTTATTTTATAAGTGGGCTGTCAGACTGCCAGGGCTTGGTGGGACCCGGAGAAAAAACTTGAACTACATTTGGCTTTGCAAGTATATATTATCAACACTTATTGTACAAAAAGGGTAAGAAAAGTGTGTTGATAGTGCCAAATCTATATAGGAATTAAAAGAAGAAACATAATATACAAAAGTATTTTTCCAAGAGCTATTTATTTATGTATTTATTCACCCACTGCGTCTATTTAGTGTTGCCCAAATGTGCATGTGCATGAGGTCACCCACTGGAGTGTGGGAGCCACCAGTGGTCAAGTGTGTATGTGCATGAGGTCACCCACTGGAGTGTGGGAGTCATCAGTGGTCAAGTGTGTATGTGCATGAGGTCACCCACTGGAGTGTGGGAGTCATCAGTGGTCAAGTGTCTGGGGAAAAGTGGCCTCCTCCAGCAGCCATCAACTGTAAACGGTTCCTCAGCTCGAGGTGAGTTTGAGGGAGCCCTGCCCCCTCCACACTCAATTTTCTTACATTAAAATTTTTTCTGTGTGTATAAGTCTGTGTTGTGTTTGCACTTAGCACAGTGTCTGCGACAAAGTCAGAACACGTGTCTATCAAATGAAACGAGCATTTTTCTAGGAGGCTGCTGGGTAAATTTTATATCCACTAAATCAAAAGAAAATATCTTATAATTATTCTGGTTTTGTCCTATAGTACAAATCTTAGAGAAGATTACTAATTTTCCCCACAATGACTTTAATTTTACTTTACTCCAGGTAAGCAAAAATTTAATGGTCAAAACCCTGTTTTAAAAGAGCTACTGAAGAGCTGGAGATATAGCTCAGTGGTAGAGGACTTGCCTAGAATGTAGTCCTGGACTTCATCTTCAGCATGACACAAAAATAGAAATCAATAAAGATTAAGAAAAAAGCCAGTGGGAGCTGGAGACATCTCAGCCATTAAGAATGTGCACTACTCCTGCAAAGGATGGAGTTCCATGTCCAGCACCCACATCAGACCCTTCCCAACTGACAGATAGTGCTGATCGTCCAGTGGCAATCCTCCTGCCTTCTTGTTTCAAATGCTGGGATTACAGGCAAACAACCATACACTCAGCAGCTGCTGGCTTTTAGTACATCACATATGCTCCGCTAAGGTCAACCCAGGAGCTTTCCTTCTTCCGAGTGCTCACCAATGTGACCAAATTTAACCTCCACTCACTGAAGTAAACCCGTGTGAATGGGATACTGCAGTGTCCACACCTCGTCTTGAGACCTGTACTGTTATAAAAGTGGAAACACACACAGAAAGACATAGTGTCAGCATTCTGGGACTCTCTGAAAGAAGATACCGAGTATCAGGGCAGAGTATTTTTAACCAGCAGTGTTGTAAGCCTATACCTGGTCCATATAAAGTTCCAGCTTGTTCTGCCAACGGTCATCTGTGGCAGACGCCTCAAGAGAAGAGCTGCTGGAGAACACAGCCGGTGCAGAAGACACACTCAAAAATAGAAAGCTCTACCCTTGAACTATGAACTCTCTTTGAAGGAAGTTATAAAGTCTTTAAATTTGGAACCTTGAAATATGAACTAGAAAAATTTGCAAACCAGAAAACAATTACTTTGTGTACTTTCAGTATGAACTTAGGGTTTCTAAGGTCGTTAACACAGAAATGTGTAGAACAAGGCTAAAGAATGAAGCAAGAGGTAAGAACTTCACTTAAATTTGTTATGTAAGAATTTTAGTTACCGTATGTCATTCTGAGGCTATAGTTTTTAAAAATCAATAAGATGGGCAATCTGTCTACAATAGCAATTTATTTGGTTTAAAAGAGACTTTAAAGTATCTTAGTGTAAACTGAGTATCTTTAAAGGCTTGTTGCACTGTCTCATAGGAAAGTAGAAAAAATAAATTGATTAACATGACTTATAAATAGTGACTCTTTAGTTTTGATGTTTGCGGAAACATGAAAATTACAATGATAAGGTAATGAAACTTTACATGGTACACCGTGTTGTGTCTCTTACCCGAGAAAATGTACATCTTATTATAATAAGGAAAGGGCTCCTGCAACAGTATTAACTGTCCCTGGTAAATTCATTGTTTTTTATTGCACCTCTCTCAACTAACCACTATTATTTGTCTTAAGTTCAGTATATTAAGACTGATATCAAATTTTGAGGGTGATTATCATGGAAATATAAACTATATATTCACTTTTAATGGAAGATTGTAGGAATTTCCTTGTTGCATTTAAATAATTCTCTCTCGATAGAAATAAACATACACAGACTGGAAAGTGAAACACTCTCGACACAGACAATAAACAAAACTGAAACTGAGCAGCTGAAGGTGTAGGAGGAAAGAGGAAAAATAAATAAATTCAGAGACTGTCTATTTCAGGATGGGCAATTTATGCCAATTTCCTTAAATGAGAAAATGCAGTCCAAATTTTATGGATAATTGTGAAAACAAATAGTTTGTAAGCTCAGAATGTAGTCCTCCAGCTCACCACCCACGTTGGTTCTAATACCCAACAGTATTTTTCAAGAGAGTAAACTATGGCCCACAGAAATCATGCTGCTGATCCCAAACATACTTTGACTTCTTCCTGTCCTGTTCTTTCTCCTAGACGACAGCACCCAGCAAGACTAAGCAAGCTGCTCACACACAGTCTGTTGCATGGTCGACTTTTAAGAAGCTATACAAAGCTTGGAAAACTTAATTATTTAAATGTAATGCAGAGCCAGGTATGGTGGCACCTCCTTGCAGGAAGCACTTAGGAGGTTAGAGGCCAACACAGACTATATCATAAGACCTTACCTCAAAAGAAATCTGACACAGCCGCAAGTATTCCAGAGCTTACTGTGGTATGCATGTTCTGTTTTAAGGATATGTGTTTGGAGGTGCTGAGCTTCCAACCTAAGACTTATACATGTTAGGCAAAAGGTCTACCATAGAGTTACATCCCCAGTCCTACCATGTCTGAATCTTAATTTTAAATATGCGAGTTGTTACATTAGAAATCTAGCCTTTATCAATTCATAAAATATACCAGTATAACTCCAGTCTATAATGTCCTGGGTAAGGCTCACAGGCATAAAAATTAATCTTTATTACCAGTCATTGCAAACTCACGTGACTCTGTGCAAAATTAAGTCACATAGCAACGGAACATGTTACCCTTGACTTCCAAAAGTACTTTGCTTTTGCCTAACATCCACATGTCTAAATATAAAATGTTTAGAATCGAAGTATAAAATTTAGTTATTGAGCCTAAGACATCTGAAAGTTTTACACACTTAGACCTTTGCAAACTACAAAGAATTTTACATTTCGCTGCATTTTAGTCTACTTTTACTTCCTACTCTGAACATTTACATGGCCCAAGTTTCAATAAGAGACAGAACCAGACTAGAACCACGACCAGTTAAATACCAGAACTCATGTCTTCAGGAACAGTGAGCACTTACTCTGAAGGTAACCGGACACGCTACGGCAGCACCAGCAAAAGAAAATTCTTCCTGTCTGAGAAGCACTAATATAGCACAAGGTGCATCGGAGGGCGGCTCCCAGAGCCTTGACTAAGCCTTATGCAAACAATCTTGTGACGCAAGCAGAACCCTGCCTCACTCAGCTATGGGTGACAGGCTCGCTGGCTCGCAGCTCGATACCATTCAGTTTACAGAGCATAACTAGCTGGGCAAACACGCCGGCTGCGAGCTGCGAGCTCTGCAACCAAGGAGGAACGGCTCCGTGTCACTCTTCAGCCGCCCCTTCCTTCCCTGTCTCTGACTGCACTGCACCGTGGTGTGTGCACTCATCTGGTGGATGCTCTATTTCAAGACAAAGTGGAACGAGGGAGTCTGGCCGCTGGAGCCGGGGAGGGGGATAAGAGGCCAGGGAAGGGGGATTAGAGGCCATCGCTCAGTTTGGCAGAGTTCCAGCTTTTAAACGAAAATAGTTCTGAGGGTGGTGTGCTGTGGTGATGGGACACAGCAACGGATATGCATTCGGTGTCACCAAACTGTATCGTTAAGTGTGACTAAAATGGTACCTTTCACATTATACATATTTTACTCCAGTGGGATTTAAGGTGGCTTTTATATTTTCTTTATATCTTCTAGGAATTTTTGGTCAATTTTAATAAAACCAGGCTGCAACTATGAAACTCTTATAAAACTGGAAAATACAGGTATAACAGTGTGTACTTGTAGCCTCAGCTACTAAGGATCTGAGGCAGGAAAATCGCCGAGTCTATGTGGGTCAGCCTGGGGAACACAACATGAGAGTTTTTGTCGTTGTTATTAAAAAGGGAGCTAAAGAGATAAAATGTTTTTCCTTTAAAACCAAAACCAGTCTAGTTTTTTAACCGAGCAGCAGGATGGCAATATGCTAATGCCGTGCCAGGGCCTGCTAGATAAGGTAGAACACGGGCTGTGGGGAGCTTTATCATCAGGAACATGGTTAAGCTGTATACATGTAAATATTTTTTTCTATCAGCTCGCTCTACTGTGCTCAGAGACAGTGAATGCCAGGCTGTATTTTAGTAATGAAACTTTGTGAAATAGCAAGTTCTTTTTTTTTTTTTTTTTTTTTTATGCAAGCCTTAATCTTTAGTGGCTGAGCCATCTCCCATATCAAGGAATACCTTCTTTGTGCAGAGAAAAGATCTCAATAAGTTGTTGCTCAGGCTGGGCTCAAGCTCCTGGGTCCAGGTGATCTTCACGCCTCCTCTGCCTCCAGAGTGGTGGGAACTGTCCACTACAAGTCCCCAGTTCCACAAGAGCCCTTGGACTGCCTTGGGGAGGGACGGGGGGTGGGTGGGTGGGGGAACGACAGGTGGGGAATTACAGGGTCCCACTACATACCACTGGCTGCCCTGACAATTGCTATGTAGAAACTTGCTATGTTTGGCCTCGGACTCAGAGACATCCCACCCCCACCCGGCTGCTGTGTGCATATTCACATGTGTGGTGGTGGTGGTGGGGCTTGTGTAGCCCAGAGGTCATCTTCAGATGTTCAAATGCTCTCCTCCTTACTACTGAGACAGACTCTCTCACTTAAACCCAGAGCCTGACTATTCAGCGAGGTGAGCTAGCCAGCTTGACCTGGGCATCCCTGTTATCTGCCTCCTCGGTACTGGGATTACAGGTAGGTCACCAAACCTGCTTGGCATTTCCATGGGTGCTGGGAATCCTAATTCCAGTCTTATGTGGCAAGGGCTTCACCCAATGAGCCATCTCTCTAGCCCCAGGCACTGCTATCTCACTGTAATAAGATTTAATAAGGTTCATTAACAAAACATTTCTCCAAGAGGAAGACCTATTATATCTAATTAGTGATGGGAATTCAAGGACAGCAAACAAAACAAAACAAAACAAAACAACAACAACAAAAAAACCCCGCTAACTTCTCTACCCTAATGATTACCTCCTTTAACAGAGGACTTCGGGAGTTACACCTCCACACCTTCTTAGACAAATATTTAGAAATATTCCTGAAAGCTGTAGATAGAAACATTCCTTCCACATATCACTTGGTGTCTAGTAACTGATCTCAAGGAAATATGGTTGTGCACAAAGATACAGTTGAAAAAATATAGACTAAGACCTAGTTGATTCTTAAGACAGGAGAGAGGCAGGCTCAGTGACACACGCCTGTAATCCAGCACTTGGAGGGAGAGGCAAGAAGATTAGGAATTCAAGGTCATCTTCTTCTGAAGGGCTGGAGACCAGCCTAGGCTCCATGAGATACAGTCTCAAAAACAAAACAAAACACGGAACAGTAACAAAACATGAAAGTCCAAAACACAGGCCAGGTAAGGGACAGGGCTGTGGCTGGGAAGCACAGTCTGTTGAGCATGTACAGAGCCCTGGGCTCTGGTCCCAGTACCACAAACACATCAAAACAGCACCAGCAGTGAATACACGCTGACACACACATGAAACACAGACGTATAAAGCTCTTAGAAATGATCATCCTGGATGTGGCGCTTCAAGCCTATAATCCTGGCACTCAGGAGGAAGGAGCAGGGGCGTCACTGTTCTAGGCCATTCGATGCCACACAGTAAGACCCTGTCTTAGAAACAATAAGACAAAATACTGTAAGTAGCTACAATTTACCAGCTTCTGTGTGAGTGTGGCTGAGTACACAGGGTGATCACACAGAATACTTGAGGCCCTGGTCTGATTCCAAGAAGTGAAAAAATAAGTAACTAAATGACATGAATAAATAAATAATTTTACAAAATTCTAAGTGTGCTGACATCCTTCATCCAATATCCCTGCCACCCTGCCTATCATATGCCACTATCCTTCATTTCCTAAGTGAGTTAAGGCATGCAGCTGCTAAGGAGCAGCAACAGATTCAGTATGGGAAGCACAGGAAGTCTAAAATAGGACCCATGATAGCACCCACGGCAGCACCAGCAGCCCACTTTTATAGCCTGAGTTTTAGAAAAGAAATGATTTCCTTGAGAAATAAATGGTGTGTTTAAAAGTGAGAGTCAGCAGCAAATAGCATCAATCTTGTCCATAATTAGAAAAGTTGAAATGCATCCCGACAAATAACAAAGGAAGACCTGTGTTGGGAGCCAGGGGCCCACAACACACCCAGGAGCAGCAGAATTGTCTCAAGCTCCAGCCACAAAGGCTACATAGCAAAACCTTGTCTAAAACATAGGAATAAAAACCCCTCCTTGAGGAGCTTAGACTTAACAAAGACCGAGTAATATCTGTTGAGGGCTTCTGCATGGCCAGTCCTGAAGCATGCAAATGACCTTGACCAGCACTCTAATCCAATCAGGTTAGCCGGAGAGAACTCCATACACCTCCCCTTCTTCACAGTGAAGCAATACGGAATCCAGAGAAACTAAGATATTTATTACCTTTATGTCATTTTGGCCTTTTCTGGTCTTATTGGTCTTTTTCTCGTTTGTTTTGATTTTTTTGTGGGATTTTTGTTGTTGTTGTCTTGTTTTTTGTTTAGAGATAGAAGGAGAAAGAGGGACAGAGGGAGAGCATGGATGAGAATGATAAGAACCAAGTTGAGTGGGTAGGAAGTGCAGAGGGTCTGAGAGGAGTTGGTGGAGAGCAGTGATTGAAATGTATTGTATGGAAAATTTTAATTGAAAACAAACAATTTTGGCCACTGGGGATGTAATTCATCAGCCTAGCATCCATGAAGCCCTGAGTTTGAACCTCAGAACCACAAAACAAGCAACACAAACCCGGTTTCGTCTAAATAGCTTTTCCAGTGTTTCTGAGAAGGCCAGAAAGAAGCTGGAAGCCAGAGATGGCTCTTCAGCAGTGGAGTGGACTTTCACCTCTGCACTGTTACTGGCCTGACCGAAACCACCCATACCCCTCCTAATGGCAAGTACTACCTCAGGAATTCAGATGCCAAAGGGCAGAGGTTTCTACACAGGACAGGACTTAACTGTCTGCCAGGTTTTTTCTCCCACTCTGAACCAGTAACAGGATGTTTATCTTACTAGCAAGTATGGTTATCTTTATCAACGGAGAAAGTGAAATCCATTTGTGTGTTTGAGTAACTACTCAGAGCCTTTTAGCCTGTCAAATTATTTAACTGAATCAAAACAAAAACCATTACTTCATAGTTTGCCACTAAAAAGTTTCTTAGGACTTGGTCAGCAAATACAAGGACCCGAGTTCAGTCCCTAGAACTTCCATTTCAAAAAGCTGGGTATGGTGATGCATACTTGTAATCTCAGGAACTTAGTGACCAGCCAGCCTAGCCTACTTGGTAAACTGGTTGGTGGATTATAATGTGCACGCAGGGGAGGGTAGGGGAGGGGAGGGTAGGGGAGGGGAGGGTAGGGTAGGGTAGGGTAGGGTAGGGTAGGGGAGGGGAGTCTACAGACTCCATCTCAAGAGATTACAACCTTCCCCCAAATCTCAACTAAGTGGCTTCAGATTTCAATCTTCCTTTGATAAGCTCAAACACAGTCTTTAACATTTTACATCTTTTCTCTTAGTTAAAAAGCTTTCTATGCTTCCTGCTAAATGCACCATGTCCTGGTCTTTCAAGATTTGCATCTCTCAAAATGTTGTCTCCATTTTAGTGCAGCTGAATTCTGCCTGACACAGAACAAGATGAAAACGTTTTTATATCTTGGACTTTCCACAACACAGTTCGGACTCTGCTGAGAAGAACCACTGCTGCTACAGACTGCTATTTTGTACAGGGCATATTAAGTAAAAACGGTGAGGGAAGCTGTTCCTATTGGTGCACTGTGGTGGGATATTTGTACGCTGTGAAGAGGGATTGCTGTGATTGGTGTAATAAAAAGCTGAGTGGCCAGTAGCTAGGCAGGAGAGATAGGCAGAACTTCCGGGCAGAGAGAGGAAGGGGATAATAGAGGCGAAGAACAAGTCAGACACACAGAGTGGGAGAGAGGTAAAAGCCATGTGGTAGAATGTAGATTAATAAAAATATGGGTTAACTTAAGTTATAAGAGCCAGTGGGACAAGCCGAAGCTAAGGCCGAGCTTCCATAATTAATCGTAAGTCTCCCTGTCGTTATTTGCGGGCTGGCTGTCCCCAAGAGAAAGCATACTTCAGGGCATCCTATCTGACACACCTGAATGGAGAACACAAAGACAACTCACCACACAGCAAGATGTTCACGCCTAACAACGGCAACAACACAGAACAAGCATGGCTAACTGGTTATGGGTGCGGCTCAGTGGAAACACACGTGCTTCAGTTAGTTAGCAGGAGGCCCTGGGAAGATCCCTCACACACAAAAAAAGACAATTTAAGCCTGCAATGGAGGCTGAGACAGAAGGATCACTAAATTTAGTACAGGTTAGCTTGGGCTACACAGGGAGATTGTCACAAGAAAAACAAAATAAAAATTAAAAAAGCACAAGAAGATGGAACACAACTAATTCCACTTACAGATTCTAAAGTCTTCGATGCTCTAGCTAGAAACTAAACTGAACGTTCTAACAGCCAATACAAGCCAGATCAAATATCGTTAAGTGATCAGAGATGAAGGGTGGGATCGCAGGTGATTTTCTTGCATTATTTTCTGTGGTGATTTTGTCACTAACATTACCTGGAAACAGCAATTACCTGAGTTTCAGGCAGCCGGACTCAGCCAAAGTCAAAGACAGGTATGCTAATAATTAGAGCTAGATGTACTGAGTTAGGCAGGTAATGCAGTATGTGCTTGATGCTAAGTCCATGCTGTCAACCCAAAGAGACTGAGCTGCTCCTTCTAGGGCTTTCCAGTCCAGTGCATTGTAGTCTCCCTTTTCTTTCTGTCTTCTATTCACTCCCTTCCTTTGTTCTTTCATTTTTTCTTTTCTTTTTTCTTTTTACAGACAGGGTTTTGCTATGCAGGCGCAGGCCTTGAATTTACCACCCACCTTTCTTAGCCTCCCAAGAGCAGGGATTATGGTGTGCCCTATATCATACCTGACTTGTTTCTTTTTCCTTCTAATGCTAACTAACGTCAGGAAGTTTCAGTTTTTACATTTCAGAATGCTACAAGGCTTAGAGGTTTTCAACTGGTTCCTCTCTGCTTCTGTAAGAATCCGTCTAGTGACTCATTTGTTCTTTTAGAATTATAACAGTTTGACAAGACCTTGGAGGATGTACTAACTGATCGCTGTTCCCGAGGAAGCTGGATATAAGAACATGGTGATTTGAAGGCTGTAGCAATGGCTCAGTGGGTAAGAGCACTGGCTGCTGTTGCAGAGGACCTGGCTTCTCTTCCCAGCACCCACACAGCAGTTCATAACCATCTCGAACTCCAGTTCCTGGGGATCTGATACCCTCTTCTGACCTCCCTGGGAACCAGGCACACATATGCAGGCAAAACTCATATGCATAAATAATACTCATATACATAAATAAATCTTTAAAAATATGGTGTTTGTATTATTGTTATGACATTTATTGTTTTCTCAAATGCATTGGCTCAAGAGATCCTGTATCTTAGACTCCCAAGTAGCTTGAACTACAGGTGGGCATACCACAACTGGCTTTGACTACGGGGTTCTCTTTTTATTACTTTGACCACGGGGTTCTTTTTTTTATTACTATTATTTTATTTTTCTTTATTAAGACATTTTCTACTCACTCCTCCTGCTATCCACAGACTCCCCCTCCTCCCTTCTCCCACCCCCAGCCCTCTTTCCCAAGCCACCCCGCATCCCCACATCCCCCAAACCAAGGTCTCCCATGGGGAGTCAGCAGAGCCCAGCACACTGAGCCTAGGCAGGTCCAAGCCCCTTCCCACTGCACCAAGGCTGGGCAAGGTGTCACACCACAGGCACCGGATTCCCAGAAGTCTGCCCATGCACCAGGGTCGGATCTGACTATAGGGTTCTTAATGCTGTCTCCAATGTAACTTCCCAAACAGAAGGGCACATGGGGCCATACACGAGAGGCACTGTGATGGGACAAGGCAGAGGAGACAAGGGAGAACAGAGAACTTTTCAGGTCACACTATCTGCTTCCACCTCCGTACAAGAAGGAACTTACCAAACCGATTAAGCAACCCCTCATCAACTGCAAGACAATTTTGTATCTTTCTTATTCAAGTAGATTAAAAAATAATAATGAGAGGGAGAGAAGGCAAAGAGCATGTAAAACAAAATGACCAAAAGACAATTAAGTTTGCCATAATTGTTGTCACACTTGTTAAAAGTTTATAGCTTACTCGTTAAAGTAACCCCGAGGGCTTACATAAGAGCACTAACCTGCCAGGCATGGCGGCTCACCCCTTCATCCCCAGCACTCAGGAGGCAGAAGCAGGCAGATCTCTGTGAGGACAAGGCCAGGCTACACATCGAAATCCTGTCTTTAAAAAAGAGCACATGCCCTTCAGACAATGAATATATACTAAGGAAACATTTAAAGCACCTAACACCAGGGCCAGAGAGGTAGCTCAGCAGACAGCTTTTGCCTCACTAGCAAGCCTCGGCTTCTGGCTCAATCTCCAGCAACACATATAAAAAGTGCATCAACACTGTGTCTACTGCAGGAGAAGCCTGCCACCTGCTGACAAAAACCTGCACCTTGTACATCTTCCTGACTGCTGGGATGTTTTGGGTTGTCTGTTGTTTTTAATGACTTTTGCTTGTTTAATTAACAATTATTTATTTAGAGACAGAGAATCTCACTATGTAACCCTGACTGGCCTGGAAGTCAACAGAGTTCCATTTGTTTCTGCCTCCTGAGGGCCACCTGCCTAGTCATGACTGACACTTTAATGGGAGCAAAACAATCTCTCAGGTATGGTTTTCATTTAAATAAACAGTGAAAATGCCAATGCTGTGGCACATGCCTATCAGCCCGAGGCACAATATGCAGTTAGATTAGAAGACACAAGACAAGAGAAAGGGCTGCCTTATTCTCTTGGTTCTGGTTTCAACATTTTGCTGGCTGACACCCATTATTTCCAACATAATGGACCATGCCACCTGCTAAAGGACTGTAGTCCTCCCTCTGAGAGGCACCACAGACCGTTAAATGGTTAATGAACCACAGTGCAACTCCCTGTCACCCATGCACAGGTAAGGGTCCCTTTCATCAACTACAGTTAACTCTCATCACCCATGCACAGGGAAGAGTCTTCCTGTTGTTTTGGTTTTACGGCTCTGGTTCTGCTTCCTCTTCCTCCTCCTCCTCCTCCTCTTCCTTGTTTTACATTAGGACAGGAGTTCATGCAGTAGCTGAGGCTAGCCTGCAGTAGCCCACAGTAGTCTAGACTTTGTAGAAATTATCCTGCTTCAGCCTCCCAAGTACTAGGATTATAAGCATGAACCACCAACCTAGCCTTGAGAAATGTCCCTTATCCATCTGAAAGCTTGCACAACGTACCTAGTAAGTCTCCTCTTCAAGGACAGAATTCTTTGGATAAGGAAAATGACTAGAAACAAAGAAAGAAAAAGAACTAGAACAGCGCGCGTGTACGCACGCACGCACGCACACCCCCACTCTAAATTTAGTTGCAGACTAACCAGCTCTAACGGCCCCAGATCAGTCCCAGTACTTGAGAGTCTACCAGGATTGCAAGTTTGAGGCCAGTCCTGACTACAGTTTTCTACACCACTTGAGGGTACACAGCAAGAACCTGTCTTTTAAAAAAAGTTTCCCCACCCCCAAATCACAATGTACAGCTATTGCTGAGGTACCTGTGGCCCGAGCAGAGCCCTTCAGGCTCTGAGGGGTTCCTCAAAGCTGCACTGCTGGCAACAAAGCCAGTCCTCAGGAGGCTAAGGCAGGGAGATTATGAATTTGAGGTCCTATGTGGCTATATAGCAAGACCTTGTTTCAAAATAATACAATCAATCAACAAATAAGGATTAAAATTAGATAATTATGGGGACAAATTCCCAATGGGAGAGTATTTGCTTAGCATACGCCAGGCCCTGAGTTCCATTTTGGTCCCAGCAGAATCAAAATTTAAAAATACATGTTCTTTTATGTATCCTAATTATCTCTAAATGATTTCAATGCTTAAATTAACTTTAAAGCAAGACAAGGTAAATAAAGGATTTTACACAGAACCATATAGGAAAGATTTCAACTACTATGAGAATTAAGGCTAAGCCAAAAACCTTGTGAAATTTTCTACAGTTCTACAAGTTGAAGCTCTGTTCGTTTTCTCTCTCTGTCTCTCTCCCTCTCTCCCTCCCTCCGTCCCTCGTTTTCTGAGACACAGTTCCATATAGCTGGTGATGGTGCTGAACCTCGGATCCTACTGTCTGGGACTCTGAGTGCTGATGGGGTGACAAGTGTGTGCCACAGCACCTGGTTTATGGGATGACGGGGATTGAACCTAGGGCTTCCTGCATGCCAGGCAAAAGCTCTCCAACTGAGCTACAATGCCAGACCCCAGGTTTATTTTAATCTCTACTCCCTAGTCTAGATTTTAGTAATGCCAATTTCTTGTGTGTTCAGAGATAAACATCAGTTTAATCATACAAAATTCATTCTGGATTTTATTAGCTATCTATTTTTTAAAAATCACACAAAGCCCCTTCAGCAAATTAACCACCACACTTAAACCATCTGAGAAATGCAAAATTAAAACTACACGTGGGGTAGTGGTGATGCACCCCTTAAATCCCAGCACTCGGGAGGCAGAGCCAGGCGGATCTCTATGAGTTCGAGGCCAGCCTGGTCTACAGAGTGAGTTCCAGGACAGGCTCCAAAGCTACACTGAGAAACTCTGCCTCAAGAAAGCAACTACATTGAGATTCCATCTTACCCCAGTCAGAAGGGCAGTCATGATAAAACAACAAATGCTAGAGAAGATGTGTCCCTCTGCTGGAATTGCAACCTAGCCCAGCACTGTAGAAGCAAGTATTAAGAGTTTAAAAAAACAAAAAAACTACAACCCAATTACAGCCTAGTCCCTTTTGGACACTGCAAATACTTCCAATGAAGAATACAGGTGATTAAAAAGAAAAAATCCAACTAATGCCTGAACTCCAGATGCATAAGCCCCAATACAAAAACATAAGCAGCATGAGAAATCAAGGTAGCATAAATCTTAAAAATTACTAATCACATAGTAACCTCTTCCACCAAGAATAAATGAGATGAAACCCTGGAGAAGGAATTCAAAATAAACGTTTATCACTCCATTCCGTTGAAGAGACTAGGAACAGAAGAAACATCTCAACATAGCAGAGGCTAAATACAACGTGCCTATAGTCAACTTATACAAAAGGGAGGAAAAGTCAAAGCACTTCCACTAAAATCAGGACTAAGGCAAGGGTGCACTTTCTCCACTCACTAAATATAGCACTTTAAGCCTTAGCTTGAACAAAAGAAGGAAATAAATGGGACACACAAATAAGATAGGAAGAAGTCAAAGTATCTTTATTTGCAGATATATGATTCTATGTATAAAGATCACAACAGCCCCATCAGAAAACTCTTAGCACTGATAAACACTTTCAGTAAAATAGAGGTATACAAAATTAAGACACAAAAAAATCAGTAGGCTTTCTATCCACATAACAATAACAAACATGCTAAGAAAGAAATCAGGGAAACTATCCCATTCACAGTTGTATCAAAAAGTAAAATACTGGTGGCTGAAGAGATGGTCCAGCAGTTAAGAACAGTGGCTGCTCCTCCAGAGGACCTAAGTTCAGTTCATAACTGCCTGCAACTCCAGTTCCCGGGGATCTAATGCCTTCTTCTGGCCTCTGAAAGCATCTGCACTTATGTGTCACACACACACACACACACACACACACACACACACACACACAATAAATAAATAAATAAATAAATAAATAAATAAATAAATAAAACATTTTTAAGTAAATATAATAAATCTACAGAATGAACTGAAAGTCCTGTACAACTTTAAAACACATTGTTTAAGCAGAAGGCTGGCTAGACCTGAGAGTTCATATCTGTGGGGACCCTTGAGAGACAAGGCAGGAGGATGAGTTGACCCCAACATAAGACTACAGTTATGACATTCCTTTCAAAAAACAACAACCAAACAGAAACTTCAGATTGCTGGTCCTTATCTGCAGATTCCTGGTTCAGTCTGTGTATATGAGATAGGGTTGCAAGTGGGAGAACTGCACTTAAAAAATAATGTTCCATATTTTCTGGTTGCCATGATTTCTGTAAGCAGCTTTTGTGAGCCTTAGCCAGGTGGTAAACACTGCTCGGCTGAGGAAAAACATGCCTACCTTTCAACCCTCAATCAATGGTTATGCTGTTAGTACAAATACAGAAAGTAAAAGGAGGAAAAGAGTTTTTGAACAAACTAAAAA